GAAACAAACATGTTCAAATATATGGTGGAATACAAGATGCAAGATGAAATATCGAAAATATGGACAAGATTGCAAAGACATAACAGTAAAAACAGAGACCAGGAAGAACGGTGACTTACCAGAACAAAGGAAGCCGGTGTTGAGTTCGCCGAAGTCAGGCGAACGACGGCAACGGAAAATAGTAGTAAGAGTCTCGCCGGAGGAGATGAACAAACGGTGGTAGCAGAGCCTGAAGGCTTAGAACAATGGAGGAATTGAAAAAGATAGAGAGAAAGAGAGTTTTTGAGATGATGTGAAGTGAAAGAATGAAAGAAGAAGAGAAGTTTTGTTAAAAATTGGAAACGGCGGCAAAAAGGCAATCAATATGCCTAGAGCAATGGGTTTGTCAGGCGGTGCCTGCAGGCCCGACACGACTCCCAAACGCGTGCGCGGTACGATCTAGTAAGGAGAGAACACGTGGCTAAACGATTGAGTTGTTATGTATAACAGCTCATACGCGTGATAAAGCTCTTGGAATTCTTGATCTTTAAGAAGACATATCGGCCTATGATGATGATCTCTGCTTAAGCCGGTGTAATGGCAGAAAGTACCGATATAGGTTCCATCACCTCAGAATGCCGAGGTAATAGAACCTAGGGGGCAGTTGTGGGGATATATTTTCTGAGCACCAACACATGGCCAAGGTGACGCCAACGTGTCAGCCGAGGTGCCACGTGACTTAGTCATAACGCCGAGGTTATCTCGGCAAGGGTTACCTCTGAAGATATCGGAATTCGAGATAAGCGGATAAGACACAAGAGTCGTAGAGTGAGGAATGACTACAGCAAGGATAAGGATAACACTCTTAAGGAGTTTATCTTTATCTCTTGGAGAGTCCATGATAAGCACTGAGCAAGAGTCCATTGAAGCTAGGCTTCTGTTGGGACAAGGATTGAATTAGTTATAAAAGAGAGGCAACCCCATGGGTCCAAGGTATGCAATTTATATTCTGAACAGTGAGATTAGCACTATTGATTATCTTTGAGAGATATACTGACTTAATCTTCGGAGTGCCCTCGGGTGGACGAACCACCGCTGGAATCTTCTCTTTCTGTTACAGGTCAGCCAGGTGTCATCTATTCTGCCAGGACTCTCCAGCTGATTACTAAGTTGGCAGTGTGGTCGGAAAATCACCCACACACTTCCAATTCCAAATCAAAACCATCAAATTTTCAAGCAAACCCAGTTTCAGTTATAAATCCATTTGCAACAACAACCAGCGATCATCAACAATCAAAACCCTTGATTCTATAATGTCTCAAACCCCTTCAAATCTTTCTCATTCCCCAACTCTCTCTTTATCTTGTTTTTGCTCTTCCTCAATTTCAGTTGTAGCTTTGGCCACTAAAACAATCGCTTTGAAATTCTCTCACCATTTTTTGTGATCTCCAATTTACTTGAGTTCATTTGCGGTTTATTATTCTTCTTTCTTTGCCTTCTTTGATGACCTGGCAAACCTTCTTGATGGAGTCGACAACGGTGAACTTGTCAGTGATCTTTCTACTGGGGCCACTAGTTTTTGGTGGTGTTGCTGCCGTCTACGACAGAGTTGTGGCAGTGGTGGAAGCCCTTGGGAAAAGGCGGTGGGAGGGGCATCGCGAGGAATCAGGATCCTCTCCTTGAAGTTCTTACTTGACTTCCTACTTGATGGGTCATTGGGCCCACTTTTAGGCCTAATTTTGATAATCCAAACTGTTCACATTTTAAGATTTGTTGAGTATATCATACTTGTAAAAAATCAAGTTGATTTCGAAAAACTAACAAAAAATTATTTTTAATAAACAGTTTTCCGAACACATGCTTTCTGATATCTGATCAATTTGATTTTTTACAGGTATGATATATTTAATAAATCTTAAAATGTGAACGGTTCGGATTATCGAAATTGGGCCTAAAAGTGGGCCCAATGGCCCAATAAGCAGAAAGTCAAGTAGGAATCTCAAGGAGAGGATCTTGATTTCATGGCGAGGGGGCTCTGAGTGTAGATTTGGAAGGAGAGCGATGCAAGGATGATCAGAGGAGAGAGGACAACAATCAATTTGGATAGATTCAATTTGTTTAATTCGGAGAGATAGATTCAAGCTCAGTTTCTTTAATTTCGACAGATAGATTCAATTTGGACGGATTCAGGAAAAATTAGTAAGACAAATAGCCAAAAATTCTAGGGCATATAGATTCAATTTGAATAGATAAGTAAAAAAACTAGGACAAATAGATTCAATTTGGATAGATAAAAAAAAAAAAACCAACACAGATAGGTTAAAATAATTTAGATAGATACGTTTAAAAAATTGAAAATAAAAATTTGTACAGATAGATAGTATTTATGGAACTAAATTTCTTAAACCCGTCGTACATGGATTTTTCATCAACAAATGCCCTTATGTCCCCAACAAAACCACCCTTGTCCTCAATGACTTATATGGGTGAAAATGTGGATTTATCAAGGATTATCCCTTAAAATAAAGTAGATATTAATATAATTAAATTGTATTTATGTATGCACTTATGAAATAACATATATCAATATTATTAGTTAATTATATATATCTATATGTATTTTTGGTGTTTTGATAGACATGAAAATGACGTCGTTTTATGTATTATACAAACAAAAACAAAAATAGAATTGAATCGCAGTGAATAGTTGTGAATTGCAATGAATCAAAAGTGAATCACAAATTGAATCGCACGATTCACTCAACTGCTGATTCAACAATATGATTTGAATAGTTTTGATTGAAACTCTTATCAAATCGTGAATTGCATGATTCTAACAACCATGCTCAAGACTAGAATTTCTAACCGTAGTTTCGGATGCTTTTCATTGTATGCCATATTGATTAATTTCACTGTGTCATGGCACTTGTGAGAAATATATCTACTTATTTTGTGATCTTAAGGTTATGTGTGGTTCGCAAAAATGGTAGGGGAAAAGGAAGGTGAAGTAAAACCAAAAAATGATCTCGTTAGCATTTTCTCCATTGCTTAACTAAAACTGAAAATTTTAGGTTTCTGTGTTAAACTGTGCAATTTAAGAAAAAGGCAGTAAAATCTAAAAATTTATGAATTTTTTACCTGCTAGTGTTTATATTTTCTTTCTGTTAGCGAACCAAACAGTGACCAAAGGTTTTCAAATTTTCTTTGGAAGGCAGAAAACAAACGTGTGACAGTTGCAACAAAGGTCATATTCCTTCTTCATATGAGCAATTATTAGCCCGATTTAAGCTCTAGCTAAGTTGACATAGCTTGAGCTTTGATTTGAACAATTCCAAATCCAACCCAAGGTGGGTTGTGTAAGATTGTGAGCAGGCCGTTCAACCCAATCTAGGCTTGGATTGGCCTAACTGGCCTATGTTGTAGCTCAAGATAGAATGATTGTTACTATCACCCATCTTAAAACCTTTTGAACTTCACCACAGATGTTCCACCCTTCATGTGTTATAAATTTTCATGTTCCCAATGTTTTCTCAGTAGCCGAAAGGAGCATGAAGGAAAATGTGGTGAGGAATTTAAAAGAGTCAGAATGGTAAAACGGTTGCAAAATTTTAGATTTAGGCACCCAAGTCGGCAATCTTGATTTTTACATTTGCGTGTTTGCATTCCTGGCATAATGAGAAATTGCTTTACTTTTTGTTGAAATCATCGGTGCTATTCCTGCCTTTGATCTGTTTTTCTGAGGATTTTGTGTAGGAATTAGTGTATGGAAAGCGACGAACAATTCCACAGGGAGCAGCTCAATGATAACTGAGACTCAACTAACTAAACCTGTAGTAGTAGATGCCCATTTCTCTGACACGGGCCCAGGAAAAAGCTTCAGAGATTTCCGGTTTGATACCAATATGATATTCCAAGCAATGGAAACTTCCTTCTCTTTGTGATGCTGAATTTTAATTTGATATTTGGTTGTTGCTGTGGTGCAGTATTCTTCTCAACAGCATTTATGGCCTGTTCTTCATGTTACTGTTGGTAGCTGTACTAGTTATTTTGTGGGTCAGAATCAGATTACCAGGTTTGGGATTATATGTATATATTCTGTACAGAAACTCCAGTGGCAAACACTTAAATCACTTCACTGAATTTGTCAACTTAACTAATGCACTTCAAAAAATTGATTTAATTTAAATCACGTCGCGAGAGAGAATGATCCGTTTTAGCCACCCTTATTGGTTGCTTTTGTAGATGTAATTATGTTGAGATGTGTTTTTAGAGTGGATTTTGGCCTCAATTTTAGCTTCCTTCTGAGAAGTGCCAGTAAAAATACTGGATGAGTAGACCATCTGTAATAATAACTTTTGGTGAACTGATTGGATCCGTTTGCTGAAGATTGATGATCGGTCGGTAGGAGATTTTTCTGTCCAACCTGTTGCATTGTGAGCTCGTTCCTGTTGAATCTTGAGGCCCAAAGGTCTGAACCATGTTTAGCACATTCGAGGTTGCAAATGCACAGGTGTCATGAGCTTAGCTTTGTAGTCGAGTTGAGCCAAGTATTTGACTTCTCAACCTTCTTCGTTTGAAGAACTTAAATGAGTTTTGAAATGAACAACACATCTGGAATTGATCTCAAACAAGTTTACTAGCTAAACTTGAGTAGTTTAATTTTTGAGCATTGCTATTCAAATTTCAAAATTAGACTTTGCTTTCTAAACCTAATAATGTGATAATCAATTAGAATATGTAAGACAACTCTCTCGCCTATCTTCTTCAATTATCAATCAATTATTTCACTTGAGCTTGTTAAGTTGAGTTCAAGTTGGACTCAAAAAGATAAATGTTTCAAAATGCTTTCAAGTTTTAAAAAACTGAAATCTGCCCTAAGAGCCCCCTTTCTAGTATGGAATTCAGTTTGAAAGTGGAGTCATAGTATATATAGAGAAGGCTGTCTTTCGGAACATTGAGGTCAATATAGCATTTTCCTCCTTGCTCACTACAAGAGAAAACAAACAGGAGCCATCCAGAAAGCAACAATAATAGTTTATAACTCATTCATTCATTTTAATATCTGTACTATTATTATTATTATTATTATTATGTATAATGGGGTTCAAATTTAGTTGGTACTCTTCCCAGAGAACCAGCCCAACATCAAGCCGGACAAGATTTCCCCAGATCAATGACATATAGGCTATATTAGTTCCATCTTCCTAGCAAAAAGAAATTCAAGAAGAAAACTAAACTCTCATATAACTCATAATATGTAATAATAATAAAATAAATAAAAAAACCTTAAAGGTTGTATTTGAATCATGAATTTGGATAGAGTTCTAGAAAGAAAAAAGAAAAGGTGAAGAAAATGTGAATGAAATATAAGCTAAATTTTTTCTCTATTTCTTGCACATTTTCCTTTTCCTTTTTCTTTCAATTTCTAAATCACTACTTAAATCCATGATTCAAACATAGCCTAAATAACCTTTCTTGCAATTCAAAACCTCGTGTGCTTGTTATCAAATCTTTAGCCCTTGCAAGCCTTGTATCACCACAGATTCCGGCCGGTTGTCCTGCACTGCACTCTTCCTCTTCTATATCTGTGCTGAAGAGCCGGATACTGGGGTTGGAGGAGCGATAGAGATAGGCTGCTCCTCAACACAAGCTGGAGCAGCAAAAACTGGCACTGCCTGCCTTATGCAGACAGGTGGGGCAATACATGACGGTGGAAGCCTCAATTGTGGGGACTGGCTCAGTGGAGGAGGCAGTGGCGGTGCAGAGAAAACAGGTATTGCGTTTCTTATCGTCACTGGCGGTGCAATGCCATAGTGCCCCCTAAAATGCCGGACAGGAATATAGGGTTCTGCTCCAGTTGCAGGGAACTTCTGAGGTCGGACCCTAGGGCTTTCAGGAGACGGTAAGGGGGCATCAGCGGTTACAGGTCTGCTTTGTGAACCTGTCTTTGGGAACATCGGGCTGTTGCTTACAGGTGTCATAACGGGTCTACTCTGAGGAACAGTCTTGGAGCATATTAAAGGAAGGATCTTCGATGATCTCATAGGAGATGGCTGTGTGGTCAACGGTCTTGGATTCTGAATTGGAATTTTAATTGGGAATGATACATTACACATCTTTGCCTTCCTAAGAAAACTCTGCAGAGCACGTGCTACAGTGACGTGCTCTTGCTCATCATTATTCACCTTTTCTGATGAGCCCTCGGATTTTTGCGCTACTGGACAGACATAAAAGAAGCATGTTAGTTCCATAAAAGAAATGACACTGTCAAAAGTTAATCACAGAACCATGTGTTTAAGTTACATCTGTGCAAATACAATGAAGTTGGACAGTTCTCTACATTGACATTTGGGTTGTGCACAACCAGAAAAGGGAATAGATCAAAGTCAACCTAAGATAAAAATAGGCACTTCATGATTTATTTGAGCTTATAAATGAAATTGAGTTTAATTTTGTATGGTGCAAGGGAAACTTACAGGTAAAAATAAAAAAAACTAGCTTGTGAACCAATGAGTCTGTATCGTCACGAAAATGGAAGGAAAAAAGGTCCCCACCTTGGAACCAGGGACGGAGGGGGCAATTATTGATAAATTCCAATGTTATATACATGCAATCTTCCAAAAAATTTGTGTATTCTATGTAACAGCGTCTCCAAACTCAATCCGGCACCCCCCAAAATTTGGAACTCTCACTTTATATGAAGGTTGTCCTTCAAAATGTCTCATGTTATATGATCCTCAAAAAATTTAATATAGAACACAGTCCACTTAATTGGCATAAAATCATATTTTAAGGCGGAGAAATTTTTTCTTAAATTATGCAAGAGAAAATTGATTTCTTATGTAAATTTCTATAATTTTTTAATTAGATCACTTGAGAAACCTTGTTTTTTTGGGGTGATAAATAGGTCACTTAAGAAACATTATGAGCTTAAGCCCATTGAATAGTATTCAAATAATTACAAAGGCCTGTTTGGTTTGGTGTAGCTTCTTATAAGTTTAAAGTTGATAATTCAAAAAAACCAAAGCTAGGAACATTCCTCCCCAACATTCTAATAATGAGCTCTTTTTAATTTATTTAAATTATTTTTATTTTTTTATGTCATAAACTGCAAGCAAAAGTTGCACCGTACTCTGGCATATATTCTTAAGAAATAAAACAGAAAAAAGAAAAAAGAAGCCCTAAACAGCCAAATAAATTCCACCAAACAGGACCATAGACTTTCAAAAAGTGAATAGCATGTTTAAATTTCGACTAGTCTCCTATAATTTTTGATGGGGCTAATTGCCTTATATTGATTTATATTTAATAATTATTTAATCCTTTTAAACTCGACCCGACCCACCGTTTGCTTGTGCGAATTTTGCCCATGTCTTTCTTTTGGCCCTCCTGATTGAAGATCCCGGGCTCTGCCCCTGCTTATGTGAGTTTCTTATATTTGTATGATTGTGCATTTATTCTATGTTACATGGATTCGGGTACGAGTATTGGGTGCGGGTTTTGGATCCACGCATCAGACCTCCATAAATTTAAATCTTGGGATACATATCCAAAATTGGATATAGGTACGGGGACACGTCATATGCACATACATATTGCACATTATATAATATTCTCCGATAAGATGCTTTAAATTATGTAAAAATATACTAGAAATTAAATAAGATTCAAGAAAAATATGAAAGTTTTATATCTAATTACTGTGAGAGGCTAAAAATATTGTTTTACTAACAAAAGTGAGTTTCATCTGCTTCATGTATTGTCACAAATTAAAGGATTTGAGTGTCTAAATTGGGTATAAGTGTCGGACACATATCCCACACCCTTAACCTATATCATATCCGGTGGACACGGGATATTGTGGGAGAAATAAAAGAGTCCATGTAACACAATTTATTTACTCTCACTCCACACTTTCCTCTTATTCTGGTTATTGATTCATAGCAATCATACACGAAATTTCACATCCAAACAAGTTGATGACATATCATATCACTGTGAAACCCTAATTATTTCCTTCCACGGATGCACGTGCATGAGGCAGTGGGGGAAGCTTACCTACTCAAGTCTGCATCAAAATGTTTCATTAACAAAGGAAGTTTGACTACCATAGTATGCATGTGCATAGATTTAGCGTCCATTGATCAATCAATTCACAATCAGTTCATCGTTTTAACAAAAATTATTATCTTTCTTCTTTTACAGAATACATAAAACTAGATGAGCAATGGATTGATTGACAAACAAAAGCTTCAAATATTTGAGAATTCAGGAATTGTTCAAGCAGGAGCAAAGCTGGAGTGGTTGAATTTGAGGGGCTATGGTGAGTGAAAAACAAAAAAAAACAAAAAAACAACTGGAAGGACCCCAGTGAATGAAAAAAAAATAATTGAGGGGCCAATAATTGAATATTTCATGGATTTGGCAAAAATAAAAAATAAAAAATTTCCAGAAAAATATTTCTGATAGTCCCAAGTAATTTGGAACTATTGAATGATTCTTTATTTTCAACACATGTTACTTTGTTATTCATCTAATTGGATTCTAGACATTTTGCCAATATTTTCATAACATCTCCATAAATAATATCCAAAATCAGGATTTGGCATATGTTTTCATGTACATCTATCTATCTATCTATCTATCTATCTATCTATCTATCTATCTATCTGTACTATTATAAAGTTAAGGCTGGTGGTGGTATTGACATAAATATGTCTCATATTTTGGGTTTTCCCAAAATACCCTTATATTTGGAGTTTTTGTAAAAATTATGCAAAGAGGAGGACAAGCCTCGAACTCATGACCATGGTTTTATTATCTATCTATCTATCTATCTATCTATACTATACTATACTATTACAAAGTGAAGGTTGCTAGTGGTGTTGACACAAATGTGTGTCATATTTTGGGTTTTCTCAAAATACCACTATATTTGGAGTGTTTGTAAAAATAATGCGAATAGGACGGGTCTCAAATCCATGACCATGGGTTTAATAATGAATTCTCCTACCACTTGAGCACACACACTATATGTGCATTTTTCTTTGTCATTATTCTTATAATGTTTTTTTTTTTTTTTGAGTTGCACACGCGATGCCAGTCTATACTACTATGCTAAGAAGCATGGACACGGACACGTGACACGACACGAATACGACACGGACACGCCGACACGTTAATTTTAAAAAAATGCAGGACACGACACGTGGAGGACACGCATGAAATATATAATTTTATATATTTATTATTTGTTATATATATGAATATATCATTCAAAGATAATAAAAAATGCAATATGGCACTATTTCCTATAAATTTATATGGTTTTTGTTTTATTATTGTATCTTAAGTTGTTTTGTTCAAATTTATAATTAGTTTTATATATCTATAATCAATAGACACATGTGTTTAAACAATTGACACGTGTGTCCTCCAAGTGTCCAAAGAGTGTCCGGGTCTTTAAAAATATTTAAAAAATAGGACACGTTTTGAAGAGTATCGGACACGTGTCCTAAGAGTGTCCAAAGAGTGTCGGTGTCCGACACGGACACGACACGGATACGTTACCTTCTTAGAAGTGTCCGTGCTTCTTAGCTACTATGTGAGGGCTTCTCATGGTGTTTGACATAAAAATGTCTGGTATTTTTTATTTTCCTAAAATACCGCTCTAATAGTTGTTTCAACAAAAAATTATATATTGAGGCGAATGAGGTTTGAACCCATGACCTTAGGTAAAGAAAATAACATATTTACCACTTCAGTAGCACACAACATATATATTTTTAAATTAAAATATATATTTTATAGATTTAACAGCACACCTATCAGGTGGGTACACACCCACTAGTGAGAATACAAGTAAGGAGGACTTACATAGTTTTAGACATGACCAAGCTGCCATAGCTGCATTCTTTTCTGCTTGTTTCTTGTTCTTGGCTGGTTCACCAGTAAATCTAACGCCAGCCAACTCTACGGTACAACTGAAGACAGGTAGGTGTCCAAGGCCTGATCGGAAAGTGGTGTATATTGGCAAAGATGCTTCAACTCTTTGTGAAACTTCCTGCAGAAGATTCTTGTAGACCCCTGTCTCATCCTGTCAATTGCAAGATTTAGTTAGGCTATAGACAGATGACTAGCAGAATAGCTGTAAGAATGGTAAATTAAACATATTGGGGAATTAAGTCTCAGCATGGGGCATTGAATTATAATAGGGACAACAATTTGACTGAAACTTACAATGGTATCATGCTACAACATATTTATCCAGTCATAGACATGGCAATCAATGGGTATGCCTTGTGAATCATAAATAGAGACATAGGATACATATATTTGAGATGTGAAAGGGATGGCCCAGTGGTCCCGGCATCCTTTCACCAGGTTGCTGGCCTCAGTTTCGAGCCTATTGTGGGTATTCCCGCCACTATTTCCCCTTTCCCTTAGGTTAGTAGTTCTTCCTGATGTTCTTATGATGTACCAAAAAATAAAAATAAAAAGATATATTTGTCTGTATGTACATATTGGCAACCACTATAGCCAGTTCACATCAGTCGCTCTATCAAAATATCTTAGATTTGACTTTATATATAATCTGCATGGTGGCAAACTTTAGTCCAACCAACAATTTGGGCTCATACAAAATCCCAGTCATTCGACAATGGGTATTCTACATCGTCAAACTTTAAAACCACGATCATGCTCAAATAATCAATGCAAGTATGTATCAGGAAAATGAAACATGTCATAGAATTACATAAAACAGTACATTCTGGACAAGCAATGCTTGTTTGGCTCAAAGTTTTAAAAGGCTTTACTGAGGCTCGCTTCGAGACAAGGCCAAGGAAAAACACATCAAGGCTTTGATTTTTAGGCTATACTCCCAAAGGCTTATGCATCATAGTTTGGGGCATGTGCCTTGTATGCCTTTTGTGCAGAATCATATGAGGAGAACATATATGACGAGCTTGACTTAAACTCTTGTCAAACTTAGTAAATGGTTTAAACATAAAACACAAAAAGTAAAAAAGAAAACCTTTGCAACTATATTCCATAGGGAAATGACCAATAAAGAGAGAACAAAAAGTGAATACTAAAGTGAGAAGCTCAATCACGAAAGCTAAGAATGCTAATTTCTCTTTCAATAAGGGCAAAGCAAACTGCCTTTTCTGCAGTGAAATGTTTGACACCTTAAGGAGAAAAGCACTTACACCTTTATATTTAATTTTTTTAATATTTATTTACTATTTTAAAATATTTCATTTATTCTAAATATAAAAACTAGAAATTTGAAATGCTTAAGCCTCAGTGCGTTAAGGCTTACGCTTTGCCTCATGAGAGGTAAAACACCTCGCATTATGTATTCGCCTTTAAAAATTTTAATCTGGCTATTTTAGTTGGCCAATATAGACATATAGGTAAAGTCCAGAAAATGAAAATTTTGTTAATTGTCCAATCAAGAACCACCCTATTTAGTTGGAAAAAAGGAAAAAGGGTAGCACAGTCAACCTGAATTATGACAAGATGTTACCATATGCAAATATGATGTAACTAATAAGATCTGAGATGCCAGGTAAAGGTTTTAGACTAGTAAAACCACTTTCAGAACCTGAACTAACAAATACTACTTGGTCATCAGCTTAAATTATTGTTTGAAGCGAAAACGAAAAGTTCAGTTAAAAGTAAACAATCATCATAGAACAAAACAATAGCACCCTGCTAATTTATGTGGTAATGCTGACCAGGACATCAATATTCACCATAATTTCACTAACAAATAAAATTATAACCACTCAACAAGGTTATAACAAATTATCCTTGATGTCAAACCACTTCAAGCTTGTTTTGTCAGCCGTAATCTATTTTCTAGTTCAAGGTCAAGATTTGCTGATATGAGTACATCAATCTGAGGACCAAATCAGTGGAATACCTTGTTTCTCTCCACCTGCATTGGAAGATGACGAAAACCCTAGTTGTTTAGCAATAAGATATGGCAGTCATCATTACTGCCGAAACTTTATAAGTAGTAATTGTCAGAGACATATGATGGAGATGCATGCATGACAACTAACTATCTTTTGATACCCCAAAATATACAAGAGAATTGAAACAACAGAAACTCTCAAGGGATACAAAAGTCCTAAGCTACGAAGCACGGGTACTCCAAAAATGTTGCGGTACTCGTTCCGAGTACTTATCGGGTATTGGTACTCGTACTGATAGGGCTGCATGCATACTGGGTACTCGAAATATGTACAAGGTACTCTTTATACATCCTTTGGCAGTTGGGTACTCTGTGGGTACTTCATGAGCACGAGATGGGTACATCGGGGGTACACCAAACTATAGAACATTAGTGGAGATATGTTTAATTTATTAGAGAGTTCTAATTTACTTGAAATTGCAAATCCTTTACTTGATATGCCAGAGATGAAAAATGTATTATTCAATAATGAAGTTAATAGAAATGAAAATTGAAACTTCAAGTTTTCAAATTTTGTTTAGCTTGCTTTTGAAATGAAATTTTGTTTTGTAATTTCTCCTATTTAATGGTATTAAATTAGCATATGGACTTTGCTTTGGTATTGGTCAATGTAGCACGAACATGGACACATGATACGACACACACACGACATGAATACGCCGACACGTTAATTTTCAAAAAATAAGGGACACGACACGCTAAGGACACGTTAAAAATATAAATATTTATTTTTGTGATATACCTCATATATATAAATATATTTTTAAAATTATGAAAAAAAAAATATAATTTAACATTAACTAAAAATTTAAACATTATAAAATCACCCACACTCACGTGGCACACAATGATCAACACAAAAAAAAATATAAATATAAATATAAATATTTTGAAATAGTTATTTTGACCATTTAATTAGTTGGTGGATGCTAGCTGTTCTGACCTTTTGACTGATAGGTGAAAAGGTGAGCTTTATTAGCTGGTACAGGCAGCTTTTATAAGCATTAACCCTTTTCTTGCAAGACAAAGTAAAGAAACATTGGTTATAGCAGGAACAAAAGAAAGCTTGGTCTTCTTGTTTTTCTTCTCCACTCTCTCTCTCTCCCTTCTTTGTATTGCAGCAGGATGTTTTCTTCTCTCTTTCTCATCCTTGTGTCGTAAATGGATCCCGTAGAAGCATTGGTTTCATCACAGTAGAAGCTTTGTTTTGTTTTCTTCCCTTTCTCTCTCTCATCCCTGTGTCACAGATAGATCTCGTCTCAAGCATGTCTCTGAACATAGACTACGGAGTTTCGATTCAGGGACTTCTCTCTCTCTTTGAGGCTAGGGTTTCAAAAAGCTTCAGGTGTGTCTCAAACATGTCGATGGAGTGTCCAGACATGTTTGACATGAAAAAAAAAAGAAAAAAAAAAAGAGGACACGTCTAACGACGTGCCGGTGTTTGACACGTGTCGGACTCTGATACGCAACCTTAGGAGGCGTGTCGGTACTTCATAGGTATTGATATTGTTAAACTATGATTTCTCTTTTGATTCATAATTTCTCCTTTTAGTTTTAGTATTGAACTTTGATTGTAGGTTGAATATGAAACTATAAATTATACAAAATAAAAAATTTATTGGCGTACCCTAACCATACCTGTATCTTTTTTTTTTTAGATCTTGCCGTATCAACGTAACCGTAACGTACCCATACTACTATCTGTACCAGCACCCATGCTTCATAGGTCCTAAGGTTTCCAAAAACAAACAAAAATGGACCTACACCTATATTTCAATATCATTCATTACATTATACCAATGAAACTAGAGTCAGCAAAGTTACACTAGCCAAGGCATAAAGGTAATCCAAATAACAGTTTCAGGCAAAAATGGATTCCTCCATCAATTATGCCATTGAAAGTATATCATGAAAACCAAATGGGATGTAAAAGCATCCCCAAACTGTACCTTTCAAAGCTACACCAGCTGTATGTGTTGCATTAAACTCGATTTTAAATACAATATATAAAAATATAATACTCTAGGAGGCTAGGAAGCACAGACATTTCAAAATGGGCGCTGTTTCCATATCTGACACGTATCATACACCGACACAAACCAAACACTCGTGTCCACGAGTCAAACATGCCACGTGGCGTGTCAATTTTTTTAACTGTCAACTTTTTGCAAGGCATGCTGGGAAAACTTCACAGACACACGTCCTGTGTTTGGACACACCTTAGGACACATTTGTAGTTTTTTTTTTTTAATTGTAGACAATTTGATTTGGGGTTAAAGTAAACTATATGGAAACAAAGAGCGGGAAAAGTGGGAAAATAAGTATACATCCACATATACATCGATGTGTCTTATATTTTTGTGCCCTAAATTTCTATTGACATAGACAACAATTAAAAAATATATAAACTAGTGTTTTTTTTTTTGGGGGGGGGGGGCCAAGTTTGCACTGTAAAAGAATACTGCTTAACCTATGTAACAATGGTCTTTCTATAAACAAATAAATGCAGTGTAACCTACACTTTACATCAAATTGCAAATGGCTTGAGCACTTGGTTTTTGAATTAGCAAATGGCTTCGGAAGAAATCTAGGTTTGCAAAAATGAAGCCTGTCGAAGAAATTTATATGAACATTTGTAAAAATAAATTAGACAACAGAGTGCCTTGTTAAATGAATTAAAAAAAAAAAAATCAAAGACCGAAAGCATAAATTTGTTGGTTGTATTACAAAAAGCATTTGGATCTTGGTTGTAGTAGGAAATGCATAACAAGAAAAAAAAAATTAAAGAATAAACTAGTGATATGGATTTTGGAAAAAACTAATGTAAAAAATTTACAACATACGAAAAAGCATATCAAAGAAAGAAAAAAAAAAAAAACAAACTGATATGCATTGGTTACATTACGAACTGTAGTAAAATATATATATATATATAGGGACAATAATAGTTCATGTTGTACCCTGCAACCAAAAACCTGTTATATGGATTTTGGAAAGCTAAAATTAAAAAAAATAAAAATAAAAACAATAATAACGCATACAAAAAAAACAATATAGCCGGAAGCAAAAATTTGTTTTGTTCTTCGTTGCATTACGAAGTGGGAAAAAAAATG